GAGAACACCAGTGTGTTTAAAAAAAACAACGTGCAGAAAAGTAATCTCGGTGTTATGTGGAGGGACAATAGTAAGGCCTGGGTAACCAGGCAATTTTTCACTGTGGGGTGAGTGAAGCGTTTGCTCCCCTAGTGTGAAGGACTATCTTGAGAGGAACAATTTACCCTTAAAGGTACTGTTGGTGATGGACACTGCTCCTGCTTACCTTGCATCCTTGGGGGATGAATTGGTGATGGATCATAGCTTCATTACAGTGAAGTTTTTACCTCCTTATACCACTCCTCTCAACCAACCCGTGGACCAGAGGTGATTTTGAATTTTTAAAAACCTATACACGAAAATCCTGTTTCAAAAGTGTTTTGAAGCGACTTCTGACATTGCCTTCAGTCTCAGAGACTTTTGAGTCAGTTCAATATCCCCCAGTGGGAAGATGTTTCCCAAAGGACAGTTAACTCTGTTTTGAGGAAGTTCTGTCGTGACTCTGTGGCAAGCAAAAACTTTGAAGCAGAGACAGTGGTTCAGGAAATCATCTCCCTAGGTGGGTCTATGGGGGTTTAGAGGTAAACCAGGAAGAGGAAGTAGAAGAGGGATTTTCTTCACTGGATGATGTGGTTGTTTGCAATACCAAAATTTCCACTGATTAACTTGAAGAGTTGTTTTTTATTGGTCAAAAACGCAGAGCATAGTGGATAAATGGCACTCTGACATTGTTCTGGTGAGCCACAACATTAATTCCTTCAGTGATAATGTGGTCGAACACTTTAGGAAGATTATGAGGGGTAGGCAGACACAGACCACAAAAAAACGAATCCACCTGCCAGTTCCGAGTCCGCAGAATCTTTGTGTCAGTGCAGAAACAGAAACGAGACCACATCACTCATGTCAATAAAGGTAAAGTTCTAGTTTCTCTGTTCATTTATTTTATTAACAAGCATTATATTAATTATTATATTATATAAAAATGATTAAAGTATATTGTGGGCTGTTTTTTGGGGGGGGGGTAACCTTTCGTGGCCTGGAACTAATTAATTACAATTACATGTATTTCGATGGGAAATACTGTTTCCGACCTCGAACTTTTCTCAGTTCGACCATCACCTAGGAACCAATTAAGTTCAGACACTGAGTTTCCACTGTATTGGTATATCTCAAGCGGAGTAATTTTGCCACTTTTATAGATTTTTTCAAATTGGACTTTAAGCAATTAAATAATTTTCATATAAGATTTTTGAGAAATTTTAAATAGAATAGAGCTAAAAAAAAATATTGAAAACTCGAGTTTAAGATATTTTTAAATTCCGCGAGTTTAGTGATCCCTTCAATATCATATCCTTGTGCTAGTTTATGCCATAGTCGGTCATATTGCTGTGTACAATGTTCTTATCTTCCATTAATTTCTCCCGAAGTTTTCATTTATAACTTGAGAAAGCACCACCTGCTCTCAAATTTTCAACCCTGGTGAACCATAAATAAGGGAAGGTTCATAGAACAACTGGCATACGTAGGTACTCTTTGTTCAGTTTTATTAAGAACATTCCAGATTTTAGAAAGCCTCTGAGTGTGCAGATGCCATTTTGCCAATTTTAATTGCGAAGTGATGTTTTATTTCACATTTAATAACTGATATATTCCTTGACGCTGGTGAAGGGCTCTTCGTCCAAGGAACTGGACTTATCCTTCGCTTTGATTTTAGGCTTCGTAAGTTGTAATTTGCCAGTTAAATTAGTTTCTGTGAAATAACTGGAATATGATTAGAAATAAGTAGCAGTGTTTGACTTTATCCTAGGTCAAATCTTCATAATGTACTTTTTATTTCCTTATAACAACTGTGTGCCTTGAAGACCAATAAAAAAAAGGTGTATGTTAGGTATAAAAAGCTTAAATATGATTTACTTGATGGCAGATCTGAACTATAAACACTAACTGGTTCACTACAGACAAGTATGAATTGATTTGAGGTATAGGTTCATTTTTTTTTTTTTAAGAAACTTGGAAAATTTGAATACTGGATTTCATGTGTTAATTCTTAATGTTTCATCCGATTGACTTCAACCCTTCAATGCTAAAAACATGATAATGTAGTTTCTGGGAGGCTTCAGACTTAATGTGCTGGTGTAGCTTAGCTTATTAGTTTGAGATGACAAGAGATTGTTTTTTTTCAGTTTGGCTTCAAGCTATTTCTTAGTGGAAGGTATAAATTACTTTGGGGCTATGTCCTATTTGTCCATTTTTGTTGAGGCTTCAAATCTTCAGTGCTGATATTTAGCTGCACTCTACACTGTTCTTATGATGTGCATTGAGGCACAGGAGACGAGCTCTATGCAGTGCCGTGATGTCTTTATTGGCACTCACAACGACCGAGATACATGTAGTTAACGAGGTTAATACCATGCAGCCCCTTTCGATGCAAGAATTCACTGCCCAATAACGACATGTACAGGCTTCCACGCATTTGTCATTACATACGTTGAAATTTTTGGGTGATGTGCGACAGATGCGCCCGTACTACACCTGCAGGATCACAAGTGGGACTGCTAACCTTCTATCAAAGCAGGAATGTTATTATGAAGATTATATTGCATTAGTTACTCGACTTCTGCCAGTACAACTTGAGCAGTCATTGGCCATTCCTCTCCACCTGACATTTCTAACACCTCATACTCATTAAAATTCACCTTTGTCTCCACACGTTTCTCTTCTCTTCCCTCACCTCTTACTCTTCTGTGCCCATCAAGACATCTCTAATATACATTCAGGCAACAGCGTCCCTTAGTCAGGCACTCTTGAAAATCAAACCAAGACTTTATCACAGAAGATAAGGGAGCCAGTTGCAGCGTAAAGTGTTATGGAGGTAGGTGTTGGACAGACAGTGCCACTTCCCAGTATGTGAAGTGGCACTCTGTATTCCGGGATGGCCGCTACCAGCGGCCAAATGCCTTCAGAAACAGCCCATCTACGACATCAAAAGCCATCGACAGCCGTGGTATGTTTTCCATCTGGAGTGTGTGTGTTTTGTATGTACTTACTGACCGAATTATGGTTGGTAGGAAGTGGGGAGAGAGTGAGGTCTCAACTCCTGGCTCTTCCTCTTAACTGTCATTGAGTCTCTCTCTCTCTCTCTCTCTCTCTCTCTCTCTCTCTCTCTCTCTCTCTCTCTCTCTCATGAGCCCAATCATATCTATGGAATCTTCCTTCGCCATTTCTTCATCCACATCAAACACTGCTCAAATTGAGGCTAAAGAAAACTTTTCTGATATTTCTACAGCCTATTAGTCTCTAAACTTTCATAGGTGCTTCCGTCTTATTGTTCTTTCTTTCCTCAAGCACTTTTTTCCTATGCTTTGTATGGCGTCATCTGGGTATGTCTGCCCAGGTTCTACCTTCACATGTCATCAGATTCGGGTCTTTTTGCCTCTCGTCGGCCATTACTTTATCTCTTGAGCTAGACACGCTGCGAACTTCTCTTTTGTCCCATATTAGCTAATATGTGACTGATTTCTTCTTTATCTAATAGCTAGGCTCCTAATAATAAAATATTACCTGGACCCCGATATATTTTTAGGGGGTTATCTTAGGCCATTTGCAAATTTATGTTACTACGTATGATAATTGTAATCATCTAAACTTATGTAACTGCACCTAAACGAACTTACTTGTTCCACAAATAAAACCGAATGATATGACATGGTTTATATACGTAGATGACATTTTTACAGTGGAATGAAAATTGGGGGAATTATGTTGATTTCTGGTTGTAAACGATTAGGTGTTGGTTGCATCCAGATGCTGCATAACATCTTTCGCAGAATTTGCTGCAAATGATATTCAGTTGGTATATCTTGTGTGAGGTCCCACCAGTCTTCTCTTAAGTCTCTGGTCTTCCCTTCCCTTCTACAAATTTCATAATCTTGCTCTTACTGGGGTCGTATTCAAATAGCCACAGGTATGCCGTAGGTTTGCTCCCGGTAGCTTCTACCGGTGGTGGCGTGTATCTGGTTCTCTCTCTCCGCTCCCCCCCCTCTCCTCTCCCTCTCTCTCTTCTCTCCTCTCTCTCTCCTCTCCTCTCTCTCTCTCTCCTTCTCTCCTCCTCTCTCTCTCTCTCTCTCTCTCTCTCTCTCGCACGTCATTTCCTCTCTATAATTCGTCTCTCTACTTACCCCCCTCCTTTCCTCTTCCTCACTCTCTTGCTCCCCATCATACAAGCCTTCCACCTCCCTCTTTCTCTTATGCGCTTTTCCATCTCGCTCTCCATCCCTCGTCGACATGTGCATACTGGTGTGCACATGTGTAAATACAGAGAAGCAGCTATTTTCTCTTATATATATCGGTTAGTCAGCGCACTTGGCTCGTGGTGAGTAAGGATCAACTTCTTACTCATTGCTAACTGATCATGCACGATGAATGCTTAATTATTGCCAATTAATAATTTATGCTTAGTGATTAGTAACTGCTTGTTTATGCTTATTGCATAGTGATTAGTAAATACGCACGCCGAGTAACACATAATTGTGACTTTAAATGCAGGCGAGTGTCAAAAACACAAGGTGATTGACCTTGGATTAGTGATTTATGATCTTCGTACAGAGTGCGTGTACTCTCCAATTTATTTTTGCCGGGAAATGGAGACCCAGCTTCTGTCCCCAGCCTCCTAATTACTCTGATCGTAGAGCCTTGTCATATCTCCTATTGAAACTGTGTATTGAATTTGTTTCCACCAGTTTTCTCATCCAAGTATTTCCACGTTTTTAGTTACCCTAAGACTTAAGAAATGCGTCCTTACGTTCATATGGCTCTTTTGTGTCTTCAGCTTCAAGCAGTGTTCCCTTGGTCTTGCTAATTTACAGTCTGTCCCTATCTTCCCTATCAATTCCTTATATGGTTTAGTTTGTAGTAATCATGTTAGGGGATCTTATTAATGAAAATAAGATACCAGACATTTTAAGCAACCATCACAAGATTTCTTGCAATAGATGAAATATAAGTTGTAAATACATATCCAGAAACCAGCCACAGATATGTCAGAGGGAAGAAGAGCAGAAAGACTGGAAAGTAAACAGGAAGAAACAGCAGCAGGCAGGAGGAAAAGTAAAACAAGCAGTGAGATGGCCACATCCATCAGGCGGCAGGTGACGATTATGACTAAAACACAAAGAAGAGAGCGGTGCTGGCGTCACCATGTGTCGTCGGCAGTAATCAAGAGCGGCAAGTGCGCTACATTGCCTGGACGCTCAAGTCACAGATATTGTCACTGTATACATTGCAGTAAACTTACTAATGTGATTCTCTGAAATTTGTGTTTTCCAGTGTTACGTCATTGTTCCTGTTTTTTTTTTTTCGGACGGGATTAGGGACGATGCGTAGACACAGACGCACTTTCTTCTTTACACAATGAACATTCAGAATTCAGAAAACAGTATAACAGCAACAGATTAGATACCAATTTGGCTAAGGGTAATTAGTGGGGTCCAACTAGGTTCAGGATAAATAACCATTCAGAAAAGACTGAGTCATGTGGTATATTTTCTTACAGGAAGTAACATTTAGACGTCTGGCAAGAGAGGACACAGCTCCGAGAGGGCCTGGGAAGGCAGCAGAAATGGTTCACCTGCTGAATGTTGGTTTTCATAAAGATTGGTGGACTGAGCACATCGACTTTAACTGAGGGACTGATTACCTCATTCTTCTCATCTTTCACCGTTCTTCTCTCTACTGAGCTGAAGAAGACACTCGCTGGCGAAACATTTCCTCAATAAAGATTCCCAAATGTTGCATAACTATCTCATTCTTCAACTTGTCAGTTTTTTTTTATACAATTACATCACAAAAAAAGGTTAGGTAAGGTTCGTCAGGAAACAGGACAAATGTTTCCTGACGCGGGTCTTAGTCAGATGATGACCCGCCTTTGGAGCTTTTGGTCATCTGACCGAGGCCTTCCGCTGGCTTACCGGTCCACCCCTTTAAAAATTATGGTCATTTATAACCAGTCTGTCTATATACAAAAAAAGGTTATGAAGCTGCAGAAGGTAACTGAAGACTGGAAACTGAGTATAGCCTAAGAGGCGAGAAACTACAAATCATATAACTCGAGACTGTCTCTGGAGAGACGTATCGACAGTATAACCTCAAAGGCATAATAGTCTAGCAAACCTCAGCCTTATCCAGAGTTGTTTTCGGGAAGCCGCCACTTCCGCGGCCCGGTCCCACACCATGTTTCCAGGTGGATGACCAAATAAACTAGGCTGTTCATGCTGGCCAGATTAGTTATTCTCTTCTTGCTAGATGCACGCAGTCCAACGTATGCGCCACAGCCCAGTTGATAAGGAACTAGAAAAAATTATCAAGCTTCCTCCTAAAGATAGCACGCGCGTTCACGTAGGGAGAGAGAGAGAGAAATCAAACACACACACACACACACACACAGAGGACACAGAAACAATGGGTCACAATTGGAAGCTGAAGACTCAGACGAGTCACCGGCATGTTAGGAAGTATTTCTTCTGTCATAGAGTCGTCAGGAAGTGGAATAGCCTAGCAAGTGATGTAGTGGAGGCAGGAACCATACATAGCTTTAAGATGAGGTATGACAAAGCTCAAGAAGCAGAGAGAGAGGACCTAGTAGCAATCAGTAAAGAGGAGGGGCCAGGAGCTGAGGATCGACCTCTGCAACCACAATTAGGTGAGTACACACACGCGCGCGTGCACCAGTTTGGAACCCACCATGAGGCAGGCTAAAGCAGCATGGGTTCGAGTCCTTGGCTAGTCGCAGTGTTGTTATTGATCAGTACCACTCGTTCGTGGGCACAATAATATAAAATACTGCTCGTTGTACTAGTACACCAAAGAGGGACTAGAATGAAATTAGCATAGAGTCATCCACACCATCGTATGTCCTTGGGTAGCGAGTACAACACCAGTTCCGCTGGATGCGCTACTCTTAAGGATTCTATAGTCCAGTGGATTAAGGCGTCATAAGTTTTCGCCCACCATGAGGCAGACCAAAGCAGCATAGGTTCGAGTCCTTGGCTAGTCGCAGTGTTGTTACTGATCAATACCACTCGTTCGTGGGCACAATAATATATATATGTATATTGTGTGTATGTGTGTGTGCGCGCGCAAGACAAGCAATGGGGGGATGGAAATCTTCAGTTCAAGTACTTTGGAAATATAAACACATATGCAGTATAATGTGATCCTTTATTGCAACGTTTCACCCACACAGTGGGCTTTTTCAAGTCACACACAGATCTGTGTGTGACTTGAAAAAGCCCACTGTGTGGGTGAAACGTTGTCAATAAAGGATCACATTATACTGCATATGTGTTTATATTTCCATTGTGTCGGTATTTTATACCATTTATTTCCAGTTCAAGTACTTTCACATATCTCCGTACGTCATCAGGAGCTAATCAGTGTAAGGTAGCATGGTGACACCAGCCAGATATGGTCAAAATAGCCACAGTAAAAAAAGTGAAATTCCATGTGTTTTCGTAAATTTTTCACGATAATATGAGAAATCGTCAAAGCACTTGAAATTTCACTATTTTTTCACTGTAGTTATTTTTGCATATTGTGACATCACCGGTTTATTGTAGAGCAGAAAAGGGATGGCAGCACAGAAGGAAGGAGAGCCGGAGAAAAGTTGAATGGAAGTGGATAATGAGAAAATACGGGGGGAGGGAGGGACGCATAGGAGGGGGGAATCAAATAAGGGGAAGGGGGAAGAGAATGGGGGTTGGTATGGAGAATGTAGGTGGTGTCAGGCACTCCCCAGGTACCTAATGGACCGTGGGATGTTTGCGAATTTTTCACTCACATTTTTACGAAGTGAATTTTAGTGTAATTGAGAGAGAGAGGGATGAGGGGGGACTCTAACAGACAGACATACGTGTTGATATACCTGTGACATACCTCTGACAGGTTTCGGAAGTAATTCTGTCCTCGTATTCCGGCCTTAGTCTAGGAAACACTGACGATGTCGGTGGATGTTCAGAATGACGTTAGGGAAGAGAGAGAGGACACACGCAGATGATTTATAATGCTTCATCAGAGACCATCGTTACTTTCATATATCACCAAGTAACCTTCTTCCTTCCCTTTCCCTTCCTCACTCCCTTTCCTCCTTCCTCCCTCCCTCTTCCTCCCATTCCCTCCTCCATATTCTTTCCTCACGCATATCAATCTTCTCCTTCGCCTCTTTCCATCAATTCTGTTTATCCTTTCTTCCTCTCTAGCCTTTTCCTTCCCTCCCTCCCTTCGTTCTTCCCTTACTTCCTTCCTCACCCCATACCTCTTTCCCCCACTTGTTCATTCCGTTTTCCTCCCGCCCTCCCTCCCTCCTTTTGCTTACCTCCTTCCGTCTTCTCCCTCATCTTCCGTCTTCTTCCTCCCTCTCATCCTTGCCATAACTGGACACAGGCAGTAGTGTCTCCATTTGGCGTGAATTTGTAATTAATTAGTTCTGTGTCGCGCTTGGCAGCTGCCTTCCACCCCCCCTCACATCCTTGGCCCTCACCTCCTCCCATCCCTGATTCCCACCTCCTCCCATCCCTGATTCTCACCTCCTCCCATCCCTGATTCCCTCACCTCCTCCCATCCCTGATTCTCACCTCCTCCATCCCTGATTCCCACTCCTCCCATCCCTGATTCCCACCTCCTCCCATCCCTGATTCTCACCTCCTCCCATCCCTGGCCCTCACCTCCTCCCATATCTGGCCCTCACCTCCTCCCAATCCCTGGCCCTCACAGCATCCCTTCCCTGGCCCTCATAGCATCCCTTCCTGGCCCTCACAGCATCTCTTTCCTGGCCCTCACAACATTTCTTTCCTGGCCCTCACAACATTTCTTTCCTGTCCCTCACAACATCTCTTCCCTGTTCCTCACAACGCTTTTTCCCTGGCCCTCACCTCCTCCCATCCCTGGCCCTTACAGCATCCCTTCCCTGGCCCTCACAGCATCCCTTCCCGGGCCCTCACAGCATCCCTTCCCTGGCCCTGACAACATCCCTGGCCCTCACATCATCCCTTCCCTGTCCCTCACAACGCTTTTTCCCTGCCCCTCACAACCCTCCTTCCCTAACCTCCACAACCTCCTTTTCCTGTTCCCTATAACCTTTCCGTGACCCCACCAACACTCGCCCGTGACCTGCCTCCACCACAAGGAACGGTTTCAACCGCCTTTGCCAATGCTCATCCTCATGGCTGACATAGGTAAAACATTCGCCAGAGTTTTAAATCTTTATTTGCTGCTGATACCAAAATAATCATGAAAATCACGAAAAAATTGCAGAAGGCTCTGAGCAAAATCTTTCATTGGGCATTGAAGAACAACGTAATGTTCACTGGTGACAAGTTCCAACTGGTTAGACAAGGAGCGAATGAAGAACTTAAAACAAGTCTTACCAAATAGAAGGAAAGTAACTTATAAAAGACCTGGGAGTAATAATGTCAAAGGACTTTTCGTTGAAAGAACACAATGAGACAAATGTCACAAAGGCCAGGAAAATAACGGAGTTGATAAACAGAACTCTCAAAATACTTGTGTTCTCTCGCATACAAAATTGTTGTGTTCACAGTTCCATTCAGAGGAGAGATTTCAGAGTTGGAACGGATTCAAAGATCATTGGCAATCTGAATAGAGCAAATAAAGCATTTAAATTACTGGAAACGTCACGAGATCCTCAGTGTGTACTCGCTGGAGCGAAGGAGTGAAAGATCATGATAATATATATGTGGAAGGTGCTTGAGAACCTGGTCCCAAATCTGCGCACTGCCATGAGAACGTACTGGAGAGGGAGATATGGGAGAATGTATAGAATAAACCCAGCGAAAGGCAGAGGCACCGTGGGCATAATAAGTAACACCGTATCGACATTCGGGGTCCCAGACTGTTAGCATCTTACCAGAAGATATCAGAGACACTGCCAGAACAAGTGTAGAAGTCTTCAAGAGAATAAATCGACAATTTCCTCTGCCAAATGACAGATCAACCAGGCTAAGATGGACTTGTGGGTCAGCGAGCCGCCAGCAGCAACGGGCAACAGCCTGGTTTACCAGGCAAGCACCAGACAGGTCTGGCCCAGGGTCGTGCTATAAGAGTAGAAAAACTCTCGAAACACATCAAACGTATACAGTGGTATACGTCCCTCCCGTGACCTCCACCGCCCGTAGGTATTTTTAGTATTTGAAGTCTCCCTTTTCGGATTGGCGGATTTCAACACCTTGTATGAGCTCCACTGTGCGTGATAGAATATCATAAACTGTAGAATAGTGTAGTAGCACACTGTTGATGCATCCAGTTTTGTTAAATAAGGAAAAAAATCCGCCTCCCTTCCGTACTCTCCTCCACCTCCTGTGCCCTCTACTTCCCTTCTCTGATGCTCTCCACTCCCCTCTACCTCACTTCTGTGACCCTTTCTCTTCAGTACCTGAATATACATGCGAGCAGTGAAGGTTCTGTGCATTCTCCAGGTCTGCAGTTTTGCCTGCCTTCAGCGGAGCTGTCAAGAGTACAGCAGTACTCCAGCCTAGAGAGAGCAAGGGGCGTAGAGTATCATCATTAGCTTGGTATCTCATATTCTGAAGATTCTAGTTATCCAGCCTCTCATTTTCTTCCGATTACGGTAGTGACACTGTTGTGATCCTTGAAGACGAGATATTCTGACACGATCACCCCAAGGTCACTTACATTAATCTTACGCTCTCTTGACTGATACGAGTTTGTATTATACTCCGTTCCTGTCTTTATTTCTTCAATCTTTCCCTAACGAAGTAACTTACATTTGGCGTCATTGAATATCATATTGTTATATTTGGCGTCATTGAATATCATATTGTTGTCAATGGCCCACTGGAAGACTTAGTTTATATCAGCTTGGAGGTTAGCCGTGTCATCAGTGGATGGAGCACTCGTGCAGATTCTAGTATCGTCTCCATGCAAAGGATGATACGTTGCTATGATTAATGTCTGAGTACGATATTAAAATAAAGAAAAGAGGGGCCAGTACTGAGTCTTGGGGAACAAAGCTTTTCACTATTGCAGCCATTAATTCCACTTTGTTCACTGTTAAGCTTTGGGCTCTATTCGATAGAGTATTAAATATCAATTACCCCTCTTCTCCAGCTATTCTGTTTGCAAGTATTTTGTGAGCTATTGCAACCACGATAACACCCGTTAAAGGCTTTTGCAATGTTGCATCTAAGACCATGTCGGAATGATCAAACAACTACAAGAGGCAGGATGGAGCTGCTCTAAACCCACGCTGCCCTGAGTTGTGCAGCTGTTCTGATTGTGTATTTTGCTGTCTTGCTTCGTAACACTCGTAACACACTCAAAGGTTTTGATAATATGGGGCTTTAGCCCTATCAGTCTACAGCTTTTACAATCTCTTTGCTGCCACCTTTGTGTTTATTAAGGATTTCCGTGCCCATGTTCCTCCTCCATAGAATATTCCAGGCACGAAATAGTGCATGGCACCCTCTTTCATCCCTGTGTATGACAGCTTCCTTATACATTGTACAAGACAGCCTCCTTCCACTCTGTATATGACAGCCTCCTTCCACCCTGTATATGACAGCCTCCTTCCTCCCGGTGTATGACAGCCTTCTCCCTCCCTGTATGTGACAGCCTCCTCCCTCCTTGTGCATGATTCCCTCCTCCCTCCCTCCCTCCCTGTGTATGACGGCCCCCCTCTCGTTCTGTGCATGGCTCCCCCTCCTGCGCATGATCCCCCCTCCCTAGGCATGACTCAACTCCCCTCCCTCCATAGTCAGCCACACCGCACCATCGTAAATTACTCGCTAAAAATTTGCACCGACCAGGTGATTAATTTTCCCGCGTGGTGCCCCTCTCATCCCTGCGATCCACCAGTTTTTTTCATTCCCTGTTTTTAAATTGATAAAGCTCACTCTCTCTCTCTCTCTCTCTCTCTCTCACTCACTCACTCACTCACTCTCTCTCTCTCTCTCTCTCTCTCTCTCTCTCTCCTCTCTCTCTCTCTCTCTCTCTCTCAGCCAGTGGTGTAGCAGCAGCCCTTTAATTTACTTGTGGCTGGTTACGAGAGTTTTTCCACCCTCAGAGCCCGGGATCAGGCTTTCCACATGGCCTGTTCAACCAGGCTGTTGCTATCAGCCCGCTGGCCCACATAGCATGCCAGCGGAGAGTATGCCAGCGGAGAGTAAGCCAGCGGAGAGTAAGCCAGCGGAGAGTAAGCCAGCGGAGAGTAAGCCAGCGGAGAGTATGCCAGCGGAGAGTATGCCAGCAGAGAGTATGCCAGCGGAGAGTAAGCCAGCGGAGAGTAAGCCAGCGGAGAGTATGCCAGCGGAGAGTATGCCAGCGGAGAGTATGCCAGCAGAGAGTAAGCCATCGGAGAGTAAGCCAGCGGAGAGTATGCCAGCGGAGAGTATGCCAGCGGAGAGTATGCAGCGGAGAGTAAGTCAGCGGAGAGTAAGCCAGCGGAGAGTAAGCCAGCGGAGAGTAAGCCAGCGGAGAGTATGCCAGCGGAGAGTATGCCAGCGGAGAGTAAGCCAGCGGAGAGTATGCCAGCGGAGTAAGCCAGCGAAGAGTATGCCAGCGGAGAGTATGCCAGCGGAGAGTAAGCCAGCGGAGAGTATGCCAGCGGAGAGTATGCCAGCGGAGAGTATGCCAGCAGAGAGTAAGCCAGTGGAGAGTATGCCAGCGGAGAGTAAGCCAGCGGAGAGTATGCCAGCGGAGAGTGTATGCCAGCGGAGAGTAAGCCAGCGGAGAGTAAGCCAGCGGAGAGTATGCCAGCGGAGAGTAAGCCAGCGGAGAGTATGCCAGCGGAGAGTATGCCAGCGGAGAGTATGCCAGCGGAGAGTAAGCCAGCGGAGAGTAAGCCAGCGGAGAGTAAGCCAGCGGAGAGTATGCCAGCAGAGAGTAAGCCAGCGGAGAGTATGCCAGCGGAGAGTAAGCCAGCGGAGAGTATGCCAGCGGACAGTATGCCAGCGAGGAGTAAGCCAGCGGAGAGTTGCCAGCGGAGAGTAAGCCAGCGGAGAGTATGCCAGCGGAGAGTATGCCAGCGGAGAGTAAGCCAGCGGAGAGTAAGCCAGCGGAGAGTATGCCAGCGGAGAGTATGCCAGCGGAGAGTAAGCCAGCGAGAGTATGCCAGCGGAGAGTAAGCCAGCGAGAGTAGTATGCCACCGGAGAGTAAGCCAGCGGAGAGTATGCCAGCGGAGAGTAAGCCAGCGGAGAGTATGCCAGCGGAGAGTATGACAGCGGAGAGTATGCCAGCGGAGAGTAAGCCAGCGGAGAGTATGCCAGCAGAGAGTATGCCAGCGGAGAGTAAGCCAGCGGAGAGTATGCCAGCGGACAGTATGCCAGCGGAGAGTAAGCCAGCGGAGAGTATGCCAGCGGAGAGTAAGCCAGCGGAGAGTATGCCAGCGGAGAGTATGCCAGCGGAGAGTAAGCCAGCGGAGAGTATGCCAGCGGAGAGTATGCCAGCGGAGAGTATGCCAGCGGAGAGTATTGCCAGCGAGGAGTAAGCCAGCGGAGAGTAAGTCAGCGGAGAGTAAGCCAGCGGAGAGTAAGCCAGCGGAGAGTAAGCCAGCGGAGAGTATGCCAGCGGAGAGTATGCCAGCAGAGAGTAAGCCAGCGGAGAGTATGCCAGCGGAGAGTAAGCCAGCGAAGAGTATGCCAGCGGAGAGTATGCCAGCGGAGAGTAAGCCAGCGGAGAGTAAGCCAGCGGAGAGTAAGCCAGCGGAGAGTATGCCAGCGGAGAGTATGCCAGCGGAGAGTATGCCAGCAGAGAGTAAGCCAGCGGAGAGTATGCCAGCAGAGAGTAAGCCAGCGGAGAGTATGCCAGCGGAGAGTATGCCAGCGGAGAGTAAGCCAGCGGAGAGTAAGCCAGCGGAGAGTATGCCAGCGGAGAGTAAGCCAGCGGAGAGTATGCCAGCGGAGAGTATGCCAGCGGAGAGTATGCCAGCGGAGAGTAAGCCAGCGGAGAGTAAAGCCAGCGGAGAGTAAGCCAGCGGAGAGTATGCCCGCGGAGAGTATGCCAGCGGAGAGTATGCCAGCGGAGAGTATTGCCAGCGGAGAGTATGCCAGCGGAGAGTAAGCCAGCGGAGAGTAAGCCAGCGGAGAGTAAGCCAGGGGAGAGTATGCCAGCGGAGAGTAAGCCAGCGGAGAGTAAGCCAGCGCAGAGTATGCCAGCGGAGAGTATGCCAGCGGAGAGTAAGCCAGCGGAGAGTAAGCCAGCGGAGAGTAAGCCAGCGGAGAGTATGCCAGCGGAGAGATATGCCAGCGGAGAGTAAGCCAGCGGAGAGTAAGCCAGCGGAGAGTAAGCCAGCGGAGAGTATGCCAGCGGAGAGTATGCCAGCGGAGAGTATGCCAGCAGAGAGTAAGCCAGCGGAGAGTATGCCAGCAGAGAGTAAGCCAGCGGAGAGTATGCCAGCGGAGAGTAAGCCAGCGGAGAGTAAGCCAGCGCAGAGTATGCCAGCGGAGAGTATGCCAGCGGAGAGTAAGCCAGCGGAGAGTAAGCCAGCGGAGAGTAAGCCAGCGGAGAGTATGCCAGCGGAGAGTAAGCCAGCGGAGAGTAACCAGCGGAGAGTAAGCCAGCGGAGAGTATGCCAGCGGAGAGTATGCCAGCGGAGAGTATGCCAGCAGAGAGTAAGCCAGCGGAGAGTATGCCGCAGAGAGTAAGCCAGCGGAGAGTATGCCAGCGGAGAGTATGCCAGCGGAGAGTAAGCCAGCGGAGAGTAAGCCAGCGGAGAGTATGCCAGCGGAGAGTAAGCCAGCGGAGAGTATGCCAGCGGAGAGTATGCCAGCGGAGAGTAAGCCAGCGAAGAGTATGCCAGCGGAGAGTAAGCCAGCGGAGAGTATGCCAGCGGAGAGTATGCCAGCGGAGAGTATGCCAGCGGAGAGTAAGCCAGCGGAGAGTAAGCCAGCGGAGAGTAAGCCAGCGGAGAGTATGCCAGCGGAGAGTATGCCAGCGGAGAGTATGCCAGCGGAGAATAAGCCAGCAGAGAGTAAGCCAGCGGAGAGTATGCCAGCAGAGAGTAAGCCAGCGGAGAGTATGCCAGCGGAGAGTATGCCAGCGGAGAGTAAGCCAGCGGAGAGTATGCCAGCGGAGAGTAAGCCAGCGGAGAGTATGCCAGCGGAGAGTATGCCAGCGGAGAGTATGCCAGCGGAGAGTAAGCCATCGGAGAGTATGCCAGCGGAGAGTAAGCCAGCGGAGAGTATGCCAGCGGAGAGTATGCCAGCGGAGAGTATGCCAGCGGAGAGTAAGCCAGCGGAGAGTAAGCCAGCGGAGAGTAAGCCAGCGGAGAGTATGCCAGCGTGTGATATGCCAGCGGAGAGTATGCCAGCGGAGAGTAAGCCAGCGGAGAGTATGCCAGCGGTGAGTATGCCAGCGGAGAGTATGCCAGCGGAGAGTATGCCAGCGGAGACTAAGCCAGCGGAGAGTAAGCCAGCGGAGAGTAAGCCAGCGGAGAGTATGCCAGCGGAGAGTATGCCAGCGGAGAGTATGCCAGCGGAGAGTATGCCAGCGGAGAGTATGCCAGCAGAGAGTAAGCCAGCGGAGAGTAAGCCAGCGGAGAGTAAGCCAGGGGAGAGTATGCCAGCGGAGAGTAAGCCAGCGGAGAATATGCCAGCGGAGAGTATGCCAGCGGAGAGTAAGCCAGCGGAGAGTATGCCAGCGGAGAGTAAGCCAGCGGAGAGTAAGCCAGCGGAGAGTAAGCCGGTGGTTTAGCAATAAATTCTTGTAATAGTCGAAATGTTCAGTAGATGTTTTGTTTCCATAATGTTTTAAGTTTTCTTTAATTATCTTCCACTAGATCATCAATTCCATTCTTCCTCCTCCTCCTCCTCCTCTTTTTCTTCCTATTAATTATTTTTATTAGCATTATTTTTATTTATATGTGAAAAATGGAGCAGTGATTGATTCGGCGATTTTTGGAAAGTGGTGAACCAGCGCAGTGATTTGTGGATAGTGGTGAACCAGCGCAGTGATTTGTGGATAGTGGTGAACCAGCGCAGTGATTTGTGGATAGTGGTGAACCAGCGCAGTGATTTGTGGATAGTGGTGAACCAGCGCAGTGATTTGTGGATAGTGGTGAACCAGCGCAGTGATTTGTGGATAGTGGTGAACCAGCGCAGTGATTTGTGGATAGTGGTGAACCACGCGCAGTGATTTGTGGATAGTGGTGAACCACCGCAGTGATTTGTGGATAGTGGTGAACCAGCGCAGTGATTTGTGGATAGTGGTGAACCAGCGCAGTGATTTGTGGATAGTGGTGAACCATGCAGAGATTTGTGGAAAGTGGTGAACCAGCGCAGTGATTTGTGGATAGTGGTAGAACCAACGCAGTGATTTGTGGATAGTGGTGAACCAGCGCAGTGATTTGTGGATAGTGGTGAACCAGCGCAGTGATTTGTGGATAGTGGTGAACCAGCGCAGTGATTGTGGATAGTGGTGAACCAGCGCAGTGATTTGTGGATAGTGGTGAACCAGCGCAGTGATTTGTGGATAGTGGTGAACCAGCGCAGTGATTTGTGGATAGTGGTGAACCAGCGCAGGTGATTTGTGGATAGTGGTGAACCAGCGCAGTGATTTGTGGATAGTGGTGAACCAGCGCAGTGATTTGTGGATAGTGGTGAACCAGCGCAGTGATTTGTGGATAGTGGTGAACAGCGCAGTGATTTGTGGATAGTGGTGAACCAGCGCAGTGATTTGTGGATAGTGGTGAACCAGCGCAGTGATTTGTGGATAGTGGTGAACCAGCGCAGTGATTTGTGGATAGTGGTGAACCAGCGCAGTGATTTGTGGATAGTGGTGAACCATGCAGAGATTTGTGGAAAGTGGTGAACCAGCGCAGTGATTTGTGGATAGTGGTGAACCAACGCAGTGATTTGTGGATAGTGGTGAACCACGCAGTGATTTGTGGATAGTGGTGAACCAGCGCAGTGATTTGTGGATAGTGGTGAACCAGCGCAGTGATTTGTGGATAGTGGTGAACCAGCGCAGTGATTGTGGATAGTGGTGAACCAGCGCAGTGATTTGTGGATAGTGGTGAACCAGCGCAGTGATTTGTGGATAGTGGTGAACCAGCGCAGTGATTTGTGGATAGTGGTGAACCAGCGCAGTGATTTGTGGATAGTGGTGAACCAGCGCAGTGATTTGTGGATAGTGTGTGAACCGCGCAGTGATTTGTGGATAGTGGTGAACCAGCGCAGTGATTTGTGGATAGTGGTGAACCAGCGCAGTGATTTGTGGATAGTGGTGAACCATGCAGAGATTTGTGGAAAGTGGTGAACCAGCGCAGTGATTTGTGGATAGTGGTGAACCAACGCAGTGATTTGTGGATAGTGGTGAACCAGCGCAGTGATTTGTGGATAGTGGTGAACCAGCGCAGTGATTTACCTAGAGGTTACCTGGAGGTTATTCCGGGGATCAACGCCCCCGCGGCCCGGTCCATGTCCAGGCCTCCCGATGGATCAGGGCCTGATCAACTAGGCTGTTACTGCTGGCCGCACGCAGTCCAACGTACGAGCCACAGCCCGGCTGATCCGGCACTGACTTTAGGTATCTGTCCAGCTCTCTCTTGAAGGCAGCCAGGGGCTTATTGGCAATTCCCCTAATGCTTGATGGAAGGCTGTTGAACAGTTTTGGGCCCCGGACACTTATGGTGTTTTCCCTTAGTGTACCAATGGCGACCCTACTTTTTATTGGGGGCATTTTGCATCGCCTGCCCAGTCTTTTACTTTCGTAGGAGTGATTTCTGTGTGCAGATTTGGGACCATTCCTTCCAAGATTTTCCAAGTGTAGATTATGATATATCTCTCCCTCCTGCGTTCCAACGAGTACAAGTCAAGTGCTTCCAAAGCGTTCCCAGTAGTTAAGGTGCTTGACAGAACTTATAAGTGCAGTAAAGGATCTCTGTACACTCTCTAGATCTGCGATTTCACCTGCTTTGAATGGAGATGTTAATGTACAGCAGTATTCCAGCCTAGAGAAAACAAGTGATTTGAAAAGGATAATCACTGGCTTGGCATCTCTCGTTTTGAACGTTCTCATTATCCATCCTATCATTTTCTTTGCACGTGCGATCGTGGCACTGTTGTGATCCTTGAAAGTGAGATCCTCAGACATTACTACTCTCAGGTCCCTTACATTATTTTTCCGCTCTATTGTATGGCCGGAGTCAGTAGTATACTCTGTTCTAGTTATTATCTCCTCCAGTTTTCCATAACGGAGTAGTTGGAATTTGTCCTCATTGAACATCATATTGTTTACCGTTGCCCACTGGAAAACTTTGTTTATATCTTCTTGGAGGTTAACCGCGTCCTCAGCAGATGACAGCCTCATGCAGATCCTTGTATCATCCGCAAAGGATGATACGGTGCTGTGGTGTATATATCTGTCTATGTCTGATATGAGGATAAGGAATAAGATGTGGATAGTGGTGAACCAATACAGTGATTTGTGGATAGTGGTGAACCAGCGCAGTGATTTGTGGATAGTGGTGAACCAGTGCAGTGATTTGTGGAAAGTGGTGAACCAGCGCAGTGATCTGTGGATAGTGGTGAACCAGCGCAGTGATTTGTGGTTAGTGGTGAACCAATGCAGTGATTTGTGGATAGTGATGAACCAGTGCAGTGACTTGTAGATAGTGGTGAACCAGCGCAGTAATAACTCATGGCAGGATTGAAAGTAATTGCTCTGGTCAATTATATTAATTATAATCAAGTTACTGGTGGACTTGGGTTGATACAGAAGTTCCCGTTTGATAAGTGGGGGAAGCAAGGAGTGAGCGGGAGGTGAAGAACGATAGAGGGGTTACCGTGGGGTGAGGAACGAGAGAGGGGTTAGCGGGGGCGAGGAACGAGAGAGGGGTTAGCGGGGGCGAGGAACGAGAGAGGGGTTAGCGGGGGCGAGAACGAGGGGGTTAGCGGGGTGAGGAACGAGAGAGGGATGAGCGGAGGGTGAAGAACGAGAGAGGGGTTAGCGTGGGTGAGGAACGAGGATGAGTCGTATTGGGAGGGGGGGGATCCGTCGTCATAATTACCTTGACACAAAAATAATACTTTAGACTGAAGCGTGGAGTGTTATACTGGCTCTTGGGAAATTATGTTGTGGGGGGGAAGGAAACTGGTGGGAGAGGAGGCTGGTGGGGGAAGTTGTTGGTTGGGGAGGGTGTTGGTAGGAGAGGAAGCTGATGGAGAGGGTGGCTGGTAGGGGAAGGGTGGCTGGTGGGGGAGGGGGTTGTTGGGGTAGGAGATTGTTGGGGTAGGAGATTGGTAGGCGCAGGAGGTTAATGTTTTGAGGGAGTAGGTTGGTGGATTGATGGTATATATCTGTATATCTTTGGTTAGGCCTCATTTAGATTATGCTGCACAGTTTTGGTCACCGTATTACAGAATGGATATAAATGCTCTGGAAAACGTACAAAGGAGGACGACAAAGTTGATCCCATGTATCAGAAATCTTCCCTATGAGGATAGACTGAGGGCCCTGAATCTGCACTCTCTAGAAAGGCGTAGAATTAAGGGGGATATGATTGAGGTGTAGAAATGGAAAACAGGAATAAATCAAAGGGATGTAAATAGCGTGCTAAAAATATTTAGCCTAGACAGGACTCGCAGCAGTGGATTTAAGTTGGAAAAATTAGATTCAGGAAGGATATAGGAAAGCACTGGTTTGGTAATAGAGTTGTGGTGAGTGGAACAAACCCCCGATTACCATCATAGAAGCTAAGACGTTGTGTAGTTTTAAAAATAGGTTAGATAAATACATGAGTGGGTGTGAGTTGGACCTGACTAGCTTATGCTACTAGGTCAGATGCCGTGCACCTTCCTTAAGTGAATGTGACCTGACCTGACTGTGTGATGTAGTTCAGCTGGGCTTGTGAGGTCTCTAGGGAAACCTAATTATATGGTCACACCTGGCCATTGGCAAATGTCTGTCAGCCACGCCTTTCGGCGTCAGGTCGTAACACGTGGTCTACGCCTTATGGGGAAGGGGGTGCTTAGAGGAATATAAGCCAGGGAACAGCTGAGCAAGGGGTTGTTGGAAACAGGTCCGGGGAGCGAGAGCTCTGGACAGCCGCGTGTGTAGTGGACCACGCATTGGGAATCTCGGGTCAGCTGGTCGGTGAATTAAGAGTGAGTACTAGTCCGTGTTACTGATAACATCTACCCTTCCCCCTGGTAATAAGTCTCATAGATCAATTGTTATATGATGTCAATTTCCTTCAGAATATGTCGTATTCTAGCCCTTTTGTGTTATTAAGTAAACTATAGCCCTAGTTCCCATTTTTATTTGTACCTTCATATGCTATTCCCTATTCTGTTAAGCACTGGGATAACACAGGAGACGTGCTCACTTGCTGAGATACCTCAGGCAAATGGGTAAAGGTCTCACAACTAGGTTGGCTTAAGCCAGTAGGAGAATTGGACCTGCCTCGCATGGGCCAGTAGGCCTGCTGCAGTGTTCCTTCTTTATGTTTTTAGAGTGTTGTTGGGTGACTGTGGCTGAGAATGTTGTTGGGTGATGTTGGTGACATGTTGCCCTGGATTGGGCAATTGTTGGGAGTCCTAGTAGTTTGCAATCCTGCTTCTTAGAACTCTTTCAAAAATTTTTATGATGTACAACGTTAAAGTTATTGGGCTATAGTTCTTAGGTATTGCTTTGCTGCCACCTTTATGAAGTGGGGCTATATCCGTTGATTTTAGTGACTGGAATCTCCCTTG